TACCACACTTTGTCAAATGCTACACGTTGTCAAACGCCACTCCTTGTCAAATACCTTTGAAATGTCTACAGCGATTGTCCTTGAGGTGTGTTTATCGTCTAGTGCCTCACTGATTCTATTAGTAATGATAGGATATCAGCAGTGGACCAAGCTGATCGAAGTCCATACTGCTTGTCAATTAAGGTGGTGTCCCTATTGAGGTGATCAACAACCTTCTTGGCGATTATAGCTTTGAAAAATTTGATAATGACACTGAAGAAGCTGATGGGTCTATACTTAAGCGGACTGAACAACTTCCAGAGACTTGGGAATGTTTTCTATTTCAAGCTGTGGTTTGCTAAGTTTGGGGATAACTCAGGATTAATAGAGAAGGAATAACGTGTTTCTGTCCGAGATACTGGAACAAGGTATGCAATTTTTACGATCAGAATGATGCCAAAGCAAGGAAAAATAATATACACGAAAAAGTTCCAATACGTATCATATACTAGAAGAAAAGAACAGCTTATATTTGGATAGAGAACTTCAGTCAGTTATGTGCCATGCGTGATACACACTTAGGCGATCATGTATCAAGATACATGACTGACGACGAACCCAGTCCGTACTGCTATTTACCCATAGCTGCTGTGGAAGAAAATGACGATTCATACTTTTCCCAGGGTATTAGCACGTGAGTAAATGCAATGGATTTGGCTGAAATTCGAACTCGTCTCTGCGATTCCTCAACCCGAGCCGCTATCCATTGCTCCACCGTTTAGTTAATTGAGTCCACAATATTAATAGGACTATGACATGGATATCTTTTCTCACTAACTTTATTTAACATGTACAGCGAGATGATTATAATAGGACTAGAAAACATACAAGAATTTGTTGTCGGCGGACAAACTTTAATAAATTGCGATACGCAGTTGGCACTGTGTTGAGATTAAGAAAGAAATCTGAGAGAAACAATTAGAAAATAACAGTGAAGCAAGAATAAAAAAAAACGAAATGTAGTAATACATAGTTGTCAACAAAAAAGATGCTCTATAAATATATATATATATAGAGAGATATGCTATATATATATATATATATATATATATATATATATATATATATATATATATATATATATATATATATATATATAAAGAAAAGAAAACTGTAAGATAATTTTAAAAAGTTACTCCAAAATTCGCTTGAGGATGAAATGGAACTAATGTCTTTAATTTAATTACAAAATTAAATTCCAAGGGCTTTTAGCTTCCATTTTTTTTACATCTTAGAACTGTGTAGCAAAAAAACCATATTTTAAATCAATTAATTTATAATATATATATATATATATATATATATATATATATATATATATATATATATATATATATAAATATACAGTTGTCAACAAAAGCGATGCTATATAAATATATATATAGAAAGAGATGATATATATATATATATATATAGATAAGCTATATATATATATATATATATATATATATATATGTGTGTGTGTGTGTGTGTGTGTGTGTGTGTATGTGTGTGTGTGTGTGTGAAAATATATAGAAAATAGGAAAGAACTCGTTAGGTAAATAATCCAAAGTTCTTTAGTATTTTTGTTATTATTTTTAAAAAATAGTGCTCGATACAAAAGTAGAGCATAAATATAATTATTCATTTAAAAATATGATTCCAAATCGCGACATAAGAGTTCTCATGTTTCAAAACAAGAGCCGAACACTTCAATATAATTATTTGAATTAAATTGAATTAAAGTACTAAGCTCTGTTCCATCTTCAAGCGAAATTTTTTTTGCTTATAAAACGCGTAAACTTCAGAAATAAGTTATTCCAAAAAAAATTTCGCTTGAAGATGGAACAGAGCTTAGTACTTTAATTCAATTTAATTCAAATAATTATATTGAATCGTTTTCATTCTTGTTTTGAAACTTGAGAACTCTTATACTGTGTTGGAATCATATTTTAAATAAATAATATATATATATATATATATATATATATATATATATATATAGAGAGAGAGAGAGAGAGAGAGAGACAGAGATGCTATATAAATATATAGTTGTCAACAAAACTGATGCGAGTTACCTATCGGGAACGTCAAAATGAAGTAACTGCAGAAAATGATTTTATTATATGAAAATATATTAAGAGACGATGTAAGGTGTGACATATAAATCTGAAGTTTTTGAAAAAAAAGATGAGGAAAGAAGACATGAAAAATTTAACACTCACAGGGCATATTGAAAACAAGAGAAATAGTTACTTAACGGGTTTAAGTGAATAGATGGAAAAGCCAGTACAAACAAAACGAAAAATAGTAAAAAAATAAGAATTACTTGGAGAAATGAAAATGCAGGAAGTTGTGGAGAGCTATAATCGTTCTCCTCCTGGAAGTCGAGAGAATAATGAAAACGGGTATAAAAAATAAGATTTCTCTTCAAAATTACGAGACTTTATTTTGAAGTTTTAAATCAGACAGAATAATGAAATTAGTATTAAAATGAAGTACACAAATGCCTCAGTATTACGGACTTCCCTTAAACGAATATCGGAAGCAACGGACCAAATGTGAGGCTGCCGATTCAGTTTGTAAGTTTCCGTGGCAACTTTGGATACGAGCCGCTCGTTCGCGAGCTGACCGCTAGTCATTTTGTTTACATCAGTGTAACCACACATGTAGCATGTTGCTCCATGAGTTTTCCCCCTTTTTATATGCCAGAGTTTTTATATTAAGAGTGATGAACTATTCACCTTTCATTCCCCTCTTCCACAGGCGAGATGTGGAAATCCTCTCGCTGCTCTATCGCTAATTCCATGGAAAGTGCTCGGACAAACTACATTCCCTGGTCCCGGCAAAGTAAAACATTTATGGCAAGAACACGCCAAGCCACTTACATAGTAGCAAACCACCCACATTACCCCCGTATTCCATCGGTAAGATGTAAGTTCCACTCGAGCAGCTTCTTCCCACGAACTAATGCCCTGTAAGATCGACTCCCAACAGGATGTTTCCCCGATCCTAACCTATTCGAGGCTAGGGTTAATCGTTATCTCCCTTACATATACACGCAATGGTCTCCTAACGTAACCCTGTACCTCTAGTGCCTTCAACTCCGGGCCTTGTAAAGAGTGACTCTCACTGTAAAAAAAAAAAATCATTATTTTCAATAACCATGTTGTCTGGGGGAAGAGGAGAAAAACGGAACGCAATTAATTCAACAGTAGAACACTGTATAGGTATGGATAGTATGAAAAGAAGATACGAGAGTTAAGGGAAAGCAACGCATGACATACCTAGCGGGCTTAGGCAAATGAATGACAGAAAAGGGTTTGGGAGAAGTAGCAAAAGGATAAAACATATTGAGAGCTGCATGGGATAGGAGGAAGTGGAGAGCCACGATCGCCTACGTCCTGAAGGGAAACAGCACATAAAAGGAGAAGGTGTTTTAAAGTGTCTGGATAGTGTGCTTGATTACATGTACAGTACAACAAACTAACTACGGACAATCGACATTATCGGAACGATATTTCCCGCCTTTTATCCGGTATGAGTGCAAATTTATTTCTCTTCAAAATTACGACGGTTGATTCATAATTTAAGTCACCAATCCTATAAAACAAGTTTTTGACTAAATGGAATAATGTAACAGGTTTGAAAAATTGGTTTTGAAGATTACGGTAAAGTCAAGTTTCTCATCCTATAAAGTTTTTACACCAGATTGAAGAATGAAGTTTATTTCTCCTCAAAATTAGTCATACACACATACACACACACAGACGCACACACGTGAACACACACATGCACACATACACATGCACAAACACACACACACATATATATAATATCGCACACTGAGTGCTGATGTTAATATAATAGTGCTCGATGTATAATAACAGAGCTATAATTTATACTAATAATAAATATATATATATTTTTACTTTTCAATCAGCACCTGACGACTGCGCGCTGTACATAAAACTCAAGGTTATGCTACCGGTGAAGAAAAATGTATAATTATCACACACACACACACACACACATATATATATATATATATATATATGTGTGTGTATATAAACAAAGCACCAGGGAAAAAAAAAATTCCTCAGAAAAAGAGAATTGTGGGCAGAAATTGAGTCAACTAGAAGTGTATGGAACAAAGTTCTTAAATGTTTGTAGCTAACAAATATATATATATATATATATATATATATATATATATATATATATATATATATACTAAATTAAAATACTACAATTAAAAAAATCGTTTAAAAACTCACATAAGTTACCTCCCTTGTATAGAAGTAAAAAATATTTTGAATTTACGGTGTTAACGCATAAAACATCCATCCGTGAAGTTGGTCTCAGTTGTGATTGAAACTGAGAAAATCAAAATTATTTGAAAGAAAATTTTGGAATTTTTCTTGACCAATTTTCTACAGTCACCAAAAATTAATTCATGGACTAAAAGGATTAAAACATAAATAAATAGACATAAAACGTCTAAATTATTTAACCAAACCTGCTTGAATGGAAAAATGCTGTCTCTCTCTCTCTCTATATATATATATATATATATATATATATATATATATATATATATATATATATATATATATATATATATAAAAACCCTGGTACTCGTTTGGAAAAACCCTGGATAGCTCAATTTGCAGTAGAACAAATCGGTACCCGATGAAAAATGGGGGAGGGGGGAAGAAAAAACCAAGAACATTAAAACAAGACGAAAACAATCTTCCAGTGTTTAAGTTCCAAGTCTTAAGAAAAAACAAAAAAAATATAATCCTAAAAAGATATATCCTAAGGAGCCAGGCAAACCTACCCAGGTTTCACCTAAACGGATCTTCTGGCACAGGTGTGTAATAGATATTTGATACTTCTATGGTGACGTGAAGTAACCACCTCTAAAAGCAGCAAAAGCGCGCATGAGAAGACAAGAGTAAAAATGGCGTCTTCATCTGCAGTAAACATTCAAATAAAGCAGCCGATAATTCGCCCGCCGAAAATTTTTCTCGTTGGTATCTGGGAGGGTGTATCGTGTCTTATCTGTTTTGTCAGCAAAAATATGCGTTACGGTACGGCAGCGATCACTCTAGACGTACGTAATAAATAGGAAAACATGATTATATAGGCAAATCTAAGGTCTCATGTATACGTGCGTATATTTTTATGTAAGTGTCTGGTAAAAACAGAGAGAGACAGGGAGAGATAGACAGAGAGAGAGAGAGAAGGAGAGGGAGAGATGGTACGAGAGAGGACAGGGAGGGAAAGAAAGAATGAAGAAAGAAAGAGAGAAATAAGAAAGCGGAGAATAGAGGAAAACACGTCATGTAACACACGAAGAGTAAACGTTCATTTCACTCTCATCTCACTCTCTGTTCCATTCTTCTCATATCTATCTATCTATCTATCTATCTATCTATCTATCTATCTATCTATCTATGTTCCATCCTCAGTCTGCTCAGATCTATCTATCTATCTCATCCTGTTCAGATCTATCTATCTATCTATCTATCTATCTATCTATCTATCTATCTATCTATCTATGTTCCATCCTCAGTCTGCTCAGATCTATCTATCTATCATCCTGTTCAGATCTATCTAGCTATCTCAGCCTGTTCAGATCTATCTATCTATCTATCTATCTATCTATCTATCTATCTATCTATCTATCCATCTATGTTTATCCTGTTTAGATCTATCTATCTATCTATCTATCTATCTATCTATCTATCTATCTATCTATCTATCTATCTCAGCCTGTTCAGACCTATCTCTAGAGCACAAACTGACTTATTAGAAGTTTGTTGATTAAAAATTAATCGTCGCTCAATCTCCTAAGCTAAAGTAAGAATTTATCGATTTTATTCCGTTTACACAAAAGCAAAATGGACAATATTTCCTGTTAATGTCATCAGAACGCCCAGGAAGTTGTAAGAGTTCATATCCTCAAGCCATTGGAATAACGCTAAGAATTCCTAAGCTCAAATCCAGGAAACTGATGACTGCACTAGAAGACTAGCCGTTCCATCCAAACAAGAGGAACTCGCATTCGCGTTAACCGGTAAAGACGGAAGAATTCCCCAGACAGCAGTCCTGCCAGTTCTAACCATCTTCACAATAAAATGAAGTGTCAAAAGATTAGTGACGACTGTCGAATAACTGGCAGTTTCTTCTTCTGCAGGTCCTTCTTCAGCAAGTATGTAACGTGACATAGTGTCTATTTGGCGTTTGTATCATTACATGGCTCCGTCTATCCGGGTGAGTTCCAGAGATGCCTATAATTGAGTTGGGTGTGGCTGCCGTAACTTAGTGAAATCGAAAACGTCCTATAGAAGCTTAGTGGATTTTACCGGGATCTACGGCGAGCATAAATGCGTTTTATAACTGCCAAGACACTCCAGAACGCATTCATACGTTATTACACAGGGCCATCATCAACTCCAAGAACTTCCTGCTGATGGTACTGTTCATTTTATAATTGGACGTTTACATTCAAGAGACTTTTATTGACGAAACCGTGTTATTATCGGTTGTAATTTATCAAAGCGTTTTGCATCACTGGATACAAGGGTGGATGAAGTTTTAGGCATAATGTTCGTCTTTCTTAGTTCTTTGTTTCCTGTTTTTTCTTCTTGCAATAACTTATTAAATACATCTTCTAATACTTATGATTTTACGTATAATTTTATCTTTCAATTTAAAAGATTATCTTATTATTATTATGCTTGTCCCGCCTTTAGTTAACACGACCGCTACGTCCTGCCAATTACCTCTTAAATAATGGACTATTCCGTTTAGATCGCGTGGAAAGATGGAAAAGATATATAAGGGACCGTGCGAAAAAGAAAGAAAGAAAGGAATATATAAGTGTTTTTAACGTCTGCTTCAGTGAAATGGAAAAAAAAGTTTTCAATTGTTCTCATCTGTACCACCTTACTTCTTAAAATAACGACCAGAATTCATATTTATGGCGTTTTAACAATCGTAGCTTAGATGGAACACAAGGGTCGAACTCTCTAGTAATTGTTCTAGCAAGACAAGATTGCTAACCATTACACCGCGTCAGCATTCATATTTGTGATTGTTATTGCAATATTTTGTTAAAGCTGGTAATACATTGTTATGGTTTCCATGGATATTTTATCCTCGTTTCCACGGATATTTTATTCTCACTTGTACAGATATTTTATTCTCGTTTCCACAGATATTATATTTTCTCGTTTCCACGGATATTTTATTCTCGTTTCTACGGATATCTTATTCTCGTTTACACGGATATTTTATTCTCGTTTCTACAGATATTTTATTCTTTTTTCTACTGATAATTTATTCTCGTTTCCATGGATATTTTATTCTCGTTTCTACGGATATTTTATCCTCGTTTCCACGGATATTCTATTCTCGTTTCCACAGATATTATATTTTCTCGTTTCCACGGATATTTTATTCTCGTTTCCATGGATATTTTATTTTCGCAGAACTCGACAGGAGTTTACTCAATTATTAACTTTAGAATTAAGATTCATCTGAAAATTAAAATCGGAAAACCATGAAATTTTCAGTTATTTTTAGTTAAAAATATTCGTCTAGCCGTGGAAAATTTTTAAGTTATTGAAACGCTAAATATGATTTTCTCTTGTATTGTCATTATATCATATTTTATTATTTTTTCCCTATTAAAAATTTATAATGTACAATTATATCGTATTTTTCTCTCGTCTGAGAATATGTCATTGAAAAGATTCTGTGATAATTGCGCTGCCTTAATTTCTGAAAAGAATATATGCATATGGTATCACTAGACTGTCAACATTTAAAATTATATGAACTAAAATATAACAAATAGGACATAGTGTTCTTGTTAAAGTTCTCTAACGTATTATAAATATTGAAGCTCTTGAATTTAAACGCAGTACTAGAGTGGCGATGAGGTCTCATCAATTTATAAATGAGCAGGCTACACGTAACCGTAAGTTCTATGCTAACAGTTTTTTTCTCGCACTGCTCGCTTCTGGAACTCCCTTCCGGCTCCATACTTTCCAGTGAACATTATATTTAAAGGGAATGTCAATGGCTATCTCCTGAATCCGGAGATAAAAAAATAGTTAAATATTCTTCTCTTGCATCTAGATTTACTCCAGTGGCAGTAGAGACTTCTGTGGTTATTGGCCTTCGTTCGATGACGTTCCTTCGGAGGGTTTGCGGGATGATGTCTTGATTAAGGGTCGAGCTTCGCGAAACGGATTGGCTCTTGCAGCGTGTTTCACTGGCGATGGTGCGAGGTAAAGCTTTCTCCATCATTGCAGCTGGAATGATGATAGCAAAAAAAAAAATCATTTGTTTTTGTTTATAGATATTTTGTTCAGATAAAAACTTTGTTTCATTAGCCACTATATTCCGAAGAGGATGACAGAACAATGACGATTTCTGTTTGATCTTAAAAAAGATCCAGCAACATTGGATATTAACAAGACCTCTTCACTATGGTACCTAGACTTTTTGAATTTAAGCGCAGTACTTGAGTTGGCTAGACGTAACCGTATGTTCTATGCTGTTTCTTTACCCGCACTTTTCTATCACACTTATTGCTTGAGGAACTCTCTTTTGGCTCCATGATTTCCAGTCAACTTTAATTTTAAAATAATTTAAATGTAATGTCAATCGCTACTTACTGTCCTCCTGATTACTCTTCTTTTGTTCCCTCCCCTTAGAAGCGATTATGTTTTCTTCTTACATCCAGTAAACCCTTGAGTTTCAGTGGCTTTACTGCCTTTGCTTGAGGGCGAAAAAAAAGAGAGATAAAAAATCGAGAATAAGGACAACATTTTTCTGATAACATCAATATCACTGTTGTGAAAAAATGGTTTGCTACCGAAGGTGGGGTGCTTAGACCTTTTAAGAACACAGTATGATGATTCTTGTTCGTCGCTGGTAAAAAGATAGCAATAGTAGCAACTATGAAGATTAATAATATTTTGTAACTGAGAAAAAAAAACAAAAAAAAACAAAAACAAAACAAAACAAAAACAAAACAAAACAAAAACAAAACAAAACAAAAAAAAAACGCCCTATCTATATGTGTTATTGTGCTTCTTGTATCTGTCATAGTTTCTATAAAAATAAATGGGAGATTTTATTTTCAGAGCGGCCCTCGTAAAAGCACTCATATTTTTTCGCGCCTGGTTGGCTGTAAATTCTTGGTTAGGATATCTTGGAGGTAGAAAAGAATAAATGCCAATCATGAAACAATGGTCGATACTGCTCTGTCCGTCGCTAAAATAAGAAGTAACACTTTTGCGTTCGTGCCAGTTCAATTAAATTCCTGATATTTGGAATAATGCCTTCACTTGCTGCAATTTTTTAGAAATATCTGCGGTGTGCCATTTCTGTTTGTGCATATGAGCGTATACTTTTATCCATAGATATATGTACATTTAGATGAATGTTTAGACATAAAAAATGATAATAGTATACACGAAATATACAATCATTAATATGAAATGGAGAAAATTCGACAATTATTTTAGAGTATTTTTATGTTTATACATTATTTTCATAGATATAAATATTTAAGTAAATGCACTGTTTATAATAAACTGTATTAAATAACATTGACCAGCCTGAATGTCTGAGAAATTGTCATAGAAAATATACGTCCTCTGACAAGAATCGAACCTGTATCCTATACGAAACCATCATATAGCCTGACGTGCCTTTAACCGGTTTGGCCAAAGAGGAGCGTTCGGTTAGCAAAGTTGATTTTACTGTTTTGTAAACTATAATCTTCCATAATTCTCTCACATTCATATCTGCTCAATTTCTGTGGCGAAATCGGTAAAAGCACGTCAGGCTATATGACGGTTCCGTATACGATACAGGTTCGATTCCTGTCGGAGGACACATATTTTCTATGAAAATTTCTCGGACATTCATTTATTATAAACAGAGCATTTACTTAAATATTTGTATTTATAAAAAAGAATGTATAAACATAAAAATGTCTTAAAATCATTAATATGTATATATTATACAGAGCGTCCTTAAAATCCGGACATATAGAAAAGCCATCCTCCTGGGATGATATGCATTCAATTCCCTTATCTTTCGATATGACCATCCTTCACGTCTAATGAGAATTACGAGTTCAATTCTTCCTTCTTTCGACAAAACCATATTTAATCTGTGGAGGTAAAAATATAGTTAATGAGATTTCCTGTGTTCAGAATTCAGGGAGACCCTGTATGCACAAAATGTCATAAAAATATTCAAAAATATTAACAAATAAAAAGCCTACCTAGGATAGTTGCACCTTCGTCCAATTCGAAAAAAAACCCATTTGGAGATTTCACACATTTAACCGACTATGTCTTCCATCTTAAAAAGAATTATTTAGGACCACTTTATGGATTACCATCAGCTGCCTCATCGCGTCCACCTATAATTTTGAATATTGTATTTCAAAATTGATTTTAGAGTCTGTCTATTCATACCCAGATGTTCTCAAGGACACATGGCACAGTGGATAAAGGCGTTGGTTAGATCCAGTGACAGGACCCAAAGAGTGTGAGTTCAATACCCAGTTAAGGCAGTGGAGAACTTTCAGAGGAAATTAACAGGAAATAACTGATAACTGACATCCATCAAACATGGCACGTGAAACTAGAACAGTCTACCCCAGTGAGTGAAATAAAGGGATCAGTTCGACATTCCAACCACCTGAAGAAGGCCGGAGCGTACAACAGCCGAAACGTTGTGATAAATATGGCGACAGGGATGAGGACAATAGCCCGAATAATGTAAATAATTGATTTTAGAGATAGATATACAGGTAGATCGTCTTTTTCAAATACTAAAAGCCCCCTTGTGCAATTGATGAGGGAAGGCTGATTTGACTTAATATAAATATTGTAAAAAAAAATTCCCAGTTGAATATGCTTTTCTGATTATGGGGTAAAATCCGAGGAGAAAGACGAGACACAGATCGGATCATTCATTAAGGGTTCTCTCAATAGCCGGAATGTCTGTTACTGCTGAAAATATATTGGCAGAATTTTTTCTGCCCTTATTCAGTTACACACACACACACACACACACACACATACACACACACACACACACACATACATACATACATATTATTCTCCATTGTTTCTGAAGAGCGAAAATCAACAACCGGTTAGACCATTTTTTGTTATTGTTTTGTTGCTTTTAATGATTGTTCTGATGGTACAATGGATAGCGACTCAGAATAAGAAAGTGGAGATCCGGGTTCTAATTCCAGTGTAGTTCGTTGCATTTATTTACCATTGGGAAATGTATGAATCCATCTCTTCCCCCATCTATGGGTTAAATAATAAGACTTGCATCGGAGGGAAAAACATTGTTATTCTCAATAAATTGACAATGCAATATTCACTCGCTAAAAATGTCCAAAATATGTTTCGGCTTTAAATAACCCATACAAGGTTGGTAAACCGTTAAAAACATATTATTACTGTTGATATAATTTTCGAGCTAGTATTTTTACCTTAATTTTTTTTCTCATCCTTGTTCTTTGTACTTTTGTTTTATATTTTTGTATCTATCTATATATAATTTTCGAATAATCATTTTTAAGGCAGTAATAAAATTTTGTATTCTCTCACTTCCAGGATTATTTGGTAATCCTTCACTTAAACGGCGTTAAATAGACTCATTTTATAGCTTTAAATGTTTTTTTTAATGGTAAAAATATAAACGCACCCTGGCCATTGGGTATACGGTGGTATCGAGTAATTGTTTCTTAGTTAATGAGCCGGAACGAAAAGCAGAGAGTCTGAAAGAGGTCGACTGCGTGGCATATTCAGCCTATAATCTGCATTGTTTCCCATGGCTGCTTCTAGTGATTCCTGGGAGAAGCTAAGATGTGACATAAGGCCGAAAATATGGAGCATCGAGTCTTAATTGTTTTAATGAGACAAGCTAGCTCCAGATGGCTGCTTGTGCTGGAATCGAGGAAATCAATCGCAGGATATGTTCTCGAGATATCATTATTCATCAGCGGCATTTTGCAGATTGTGCCGTGTAAGAATAGTGCCGCGTTTTCAGCTGAAGGAGAATCAGAAAAAGGCGATTGTGAGGTGTATTCAGCCTGGATACCACATTGTTTCAGATCGTTGGGCTGCTTATGGTTGAATCCATGCAATCAATCACGGGATATATTTATCAGCAGCATTTTGTGAATTCTGCGCTACAAGAACAACATTTATTACCAATTATTTGCTGCTTAGTCCACCATTACCCATTGTATTACTGTTTAATTTTAATAAACGGATATACCCTTTTTACGCTGTTCAGGGAATAGCGTTTTATTTTAAGGCTCTTAAGTGGAAGTTTACCGATTATTTAGGTTTCAAATTTGAAAATAAATGCTGCTCATTTTTCTGGTAATCCGTAGAAATTTAGTTCATTAAATTGAATTATTCTTGCGTTGCGTTCTTCGAAATATATCCAGAGATCTATATTTTGATTCTCAAGCATGCTCAGCATATCCAGAATTGGGCCTGGAGCCTTGTGATCTTTGTTGCTCAATTTGTGAACATTTTCATAATTTTTTATGGTAATGTAATATTAGCCTTTTCCCAACAAGAAAACATTTGGCATTTACTGACCGAACAGCGAATACTGCTTTAGTTTGAAGTTTATTTAATCTTTTTTAAAACAATTTTTCAGGTTTCTCAAGATCAGTAGCTGTTATGGCTCTTTGCAGTATTTTTGGATGGGTGGGATTTTTCCTTCTTAACCTTTTAATTGAAATAGTGTGGAATGTTAACATCTTGATTATGCTATTATTTTATCTTCGACTTACATGTGCTATCCATTTTAGTTGTTGCTGCTGTTGGAAGTCCTTAAGTGATGTGGTTTGTGTTATCTGATATAGTTCTTTGTGATTCAGTAGCGCCTGTACACAATGTTCAAAGAAGAATGAACTTTGCCAAGCCCCCGCCCCCCCAGGCTTTATACGCTCAAAGCCTTTTTAACCATTGATCCCAGAAAGCGGTCGTATATAACTGACAGTTTAGATATTTCTGAACGGGTTTGGCGCCATGCATGACATCCATCTGAAATCCTCGATCTGACGAGTTTATTTGGGAACATGACTTGAGTTTTCAAAGGTTACTAAATGAGTTTGTTGTAATGGAACTTCCTCTTCACAAATGGAATAGGAAGAGAATGAGGATGAGTCGACTCTGTGGAGATGGCATGGCGAGTCCAAGCTGTGAAAATCTGGATGGTTGGAACCTAGCAATGAACCGAACATCCGCCATGAAAATCCATCCAGCTCACGAGACGATGGCATAGCTCGGGCTTTATAGAACTGAAAATGATTCATGGCGATCCTGGGCTACTAGTATATAAAGACACACACACACACACACACACACACACACACACACACACACACACACACACTATCTCTCTCTCTGTCTCTCTCTCTCTCCTCTTTCTCTCTCGCACTTGTCCGTAGATTTCAAAGGAAGAAATTCAAAAATAGTTTGATACTTCTTACTTTTGGTATTGCTGTCAACTACGATATTTAAAAAAAAAGGAAAATGCAATATTTGTCGTCATCTTCCCCCTCCTTGAACCCTGTTCCTTTTTATTGTTCTTTCTTCTGAGTAAAGTATTCTCAATTTCCTTCACGCTACTGTCTTTAATCCCCAGAACCCACTAGCGTCTTAGTGGCTTTATCGCCTTGCTTAGGGTCAAATAATTACAAAAAAAAGCAAACAAACAAAAAATAAAAAAAAAGTGTATGAGATGCTATCGAAAAATATGCAGATTTAGACCTCGTGGATGATTTTAGATTCCCATTTTATGAGAGACGATTGGAATTGACTGGTGTGACATTCCTCAGGAGCGAGTTTACCAGTTTCTGGAGTTGTACTTGCAACATATCGCTTTCAACGCTCACCATCTTGAACCGACACTCGACAGACCTTGAAATGTGCATTCACTGAAACAAACTGTATTTGACTTAGGGAACATTCACCAAAAGTATAACAAGGTATTTCAAGAATTTCGGTTGCTTCACGCAAAACTTGATCCAGACAGGTTACTCGAATTTATCAACCATCGTAAAGATCGCATAATAATTTAGCAGAAGCAGGTAGCACAAAAATTGTTGGTAGACTGACTCAGTCGGTTGGGTGCCAATGTGTGTTAACTGCGCCCGAATTTCTGCTGAACGACTCAGTCGTATCATTTATAGTCTGGAAACGTTCTGATACCACTTCAGATACTAAAAGTGATTATGCGTTTTATTGTAGCGTTTTATTGTAGAGTTTTGTTGTAGCGTTTTATTGCAGTGTTTTATTGTAGAGTTTTGTTGTAGCGTTTTTGTTGTAGTGTTTTATTGTAGCGTTTTATAGTAGAGTTTCATTGTAGAGTTTTATTGTAGTGTTTTATTGCAGAGTTTTGTTTTCGTGTTTTATTGTAACATTTTATTGTAGCGTTTTATTGTAGAGTTTTATTGTAGAGTTTTGTTGTAGCGTTTTATTGTAGTGTTTTATTGTAGAGTTTTGTTTTCGTGTTTTATTGTAGCATTTTATTGTAGCGTTTTATTGTAGCGTTTTATTGTAGAGTTTTATTGTAGAGTTTTATTGCGTTTTATTGTAGTGTTTTATTGTAACGTTTTATTGTAGAGTTTTACTGTAGTGTTGCAACTGGTTGGACTTTAGATGCCGCTTTTTTGGTAATCGCTGTAGATGAATGCAGAAAAGGTGGTGTGATCGTTGAAAGTGATCCGTTTTCGAAAAAGTACGGTCAACAAAAACAGTTAAAGGAACCATTCTGGTTTATTCATGTACTTCAATAACGAGACGGAATGCGTGATACTATGCGCTGATCGGGACGGAATGTCACTAACTGGCAAAACGTTTCCTCTTTTATGGAGCTCAAACTTCTTTTTGTCATCTTAATTCGAATAGTCATAAATCATACACTATCAGCCCACACGCATCCCAGACCAAGATATTTTGATCGAGGCAGATAAAAGTGTCGCTCCAAGTGCTTAGAACTATCATATCCAATTAAAAAGTCATTCTTTCATTAGTTTAATTAGCATAATCATATACTAATACTTACAGTTCAACGTCTGCTTGCTTTAGGGAAATGCTGCTACTTTTTCGCTGAAGAGTATAACAGTGCAAAAATCTTGAGATAGACTAAAATAGATTCTGAGCATAGATTTTTTTATTTGATAACGTTGGTGGATCTTTTATCTGCTTGATAGTGACATGGCGAAGGCAGATGCCATAATTACTTTACGCGTTGTGAAATGAACACAAGAACACAAGAAAGGTGTGAGGAATATTTTGACATTGAGAAAATTAGTTTCAATCATGACTACAGGTTAAGGAAACTCTCTTTCACTCACTTTACATATCTATCTATCTATCTATCTATCTATCTATCTATCTATCTATCTATCTATCTACTCATAGCTATCTATCTATTCTGCTCATGTCTAACTGCCTGTCTGTCTATCTATCTATCTATCTATCTATCTATCTATCTATCTATCTATCTCAGTATAATCATATCTGTATATCTATAATCATATCTATCTTAATATATAAATATCTATCTATCTACTCATAACTATCTATCTATTTATTCTGCTCATGTCTGTGTGGCTGTCTGCCTGTCTGTCTGACTATCTATCTATCTAGATCAATATAATCATATCTATCTATCTATCTATCTATCTTCTGTTTGCATGTATCTATCTATTCATATTCAAGACTAAATAACATCCATTTGAAGTACTAACTCATCATGATATCACTTCAGTTAAATGGTCCATAAATTTAGTAAATACCACTATGATTATTGACTAAAATGTGTTTAGTATTGTATGTCCCAACGTGTCCCCAATAAAGATCGGACTCGAGACAGTAGAAAGCTTCTTCCCTAGGACTAACCTGCCAAATAATTTCCCAAGTGTAGCTCAGATGTGGCACAAGGCCGAAACTATGGGGCACTCAGTAAGGATCGAACTCACTACTTAGTCGCAATTGTTCTAGCAAGACAAGCTTGTTAACCATTACACCACCTCAAGGTGCCCAACTAACCTGCCAAATATCGCTCAACGACAGGCCCTCAGAAATTCACTTAACCTAGTTTGTCTCAAAGCCAGAAGAGCGATGAAGATTGAAACCAGTACCAGTAGGCTAGAGGACCACTCTATTGACCGTTTCTCTGCGACAAGCGCCCTTTAAAAATCCTACGCGTTTTTTTTTTGTTTTTTTTTCAAAGCATATAAAGCGCGTAGTAGAAACATTTCTGAAGATGAAACAATAAAAGACTAAATACATTTATCGCATGTCTTATTTTAATACCCCATTAGCGACGTGGAACAAAGACTTCATGCAAATTGATCATGCTAGACGAGGCTTTCTGGAAACATTTGTGAGATATGGATCGTCATAAGGCTGCTCTCCTAATTAAAGTATTCAAAGTAATTATTCGTTGTAGGTAGTTTAGCCATTATCACTACGTGCACATAAGTTTTACTCTGGTTTCTTTTCTCTAATTAAAAATTGGTCTAATGTTATCACTGATGACAGTGCAACTGACACACTCTACTGGGTGGGATTTATTTTGAATTTATTCATTTGACCACGTCTCCAAAAAAAAAAAAAAAAAAAAAAATTAAATAAATAAATTAAAAAAAAAAAATGAACGTTTTCTGTTTCTAAAACAAAAGCAACTCCCTGCGTCTGCTCGGTCTCACGTTGACTGCTGACCTTAGATGGAACAAATACATTGAGTCAATTGCTTCTTCCACCGCGAGGAAAGTTGGCTCTCTGTGCCGCGCCAGGAAATTTTTCTCCCCTGAATCGATACTTCAAATATACAAAACAACCATTCGCCCTTGCATGGAGTATTGCTGCCATGTATGGTCTGGGGCACCTTCTGTTTACCTCGGAGTTCTTGACAAGATCCAGAGACGGATATGTAATGAAATTGGCCCTGATCTGGCATCACGTCTACAGTCACTCTCTCACAGACGCGCCGTCGCCTGTCTCTGTCTTTTCTACAAATACTTTCATGGTAATTGCTCCGATGAGCTGCTTTCACTGGTTCCCAGACTCCATGAATTCAAGCGCCCTACGAGGCTGGCATCGCCCTCCCACCCTTACACTATAGAAATTTTTAAATGTAGCCGTCTCTTCTACTCCAATTGCTTCATGTCTCGCACTTCTCGCCTGTGGAACACCCTCCTCTTTTCATGTTTCCCTGATAGCTATGATCTCCAACTATTCAAATGTAATGTCAATCGACACCTCTAGTTACCTTGATCTATCCACTATCCCTCTCCTCATCCTTTCTTCTATCACTCCTATCTGCTCTCGCTCCAAATCTTCTGCAACCCCCTGCATCCTAGTGGCTTCACGCCTTGCTTAAAAAAAAAAAAAAAATACCCGTATGATCTTCCTTAATGAAATTCGTCAGTGGTTTAAGAGGATGAAAAAAATTAACCTTCAATTACGAGACATTGTTTATGTATGTGGTTATTTTTTTTTTTTTTTAAACATTGTGCCTTTCTCTCAAGGCGTTCTCCTCTAGGATATATATCTCTATATGTTTTTTATATTGAGATTTTTTTTGATAAGATGATTAAATCTCCTATTAAAAGGAAGAAGGATAAAGGGTAGATCAAGAGAATTTGAGATGTCAATTGACATTAAGAATTTGTGAATAAAACTTTTCAATAATTCATGTAAACATAGTTATTTATTTGTTTTTAAATATATATATTATATATATATATTATATATATACTGATAGATGGCTGATACTATGATAAAAATATTAATCTGTATATTATATAATATATAATTATATATATAATATATATATTTTAAAATTTTAGGAAACTATAAAGTAAATAGCAAATATCAAATATATATTGCTTAAAATGTATTATAAAAAATAAATATTGGGGAAAATTATAAAATTTGCCTTATTTCATTGTAATTATAATTTTTCTGTATTTTATTTTTAAACAAATTTTCATGGCATTAAAAAATAATCTCAAAAAATTGTATAAATATATATATATATTAATATGTAATAAAATTTAATAAATCGAATCTTGAAAACACGAAATGAAAAAAAAACTAATGTACCATTTTTATTAAATTATTCATTACTAATTATAAAAGGGAACATCCTTTTATATTTAAATGGCTAGATTTAACCTTTATTTATATTAACAATTCTTCTATCGCATTCTCGTTTGTGGAACCCTCTTCAAACCTCTTCCTTTCCAGTCAAGTTTAAGTGCATTATAAGACTGGCAGGAAAAGGTCTCATCATTTTACGGTTTAAATGAATATATTTAACCGTAAGTTCTATCCTAACAGTTTCTTCTATCGCACTTCTTTTCTTGTGGAACCCTCTTCAAGCCTCATCCTTTCCAGTCAAGTTTAAGTGCAGTACAAGACTGGCAATAATGGTCTCCTCATTTTTTGAAATTTAAATGACTAGATTTAACCGTAAGTTCTAGTCTGTATTTCAGTTTCTTCTAAATGGATTCTCGCTTGTGGAACCCTCTTCAAAAATCTTCCTTTCCAGTCAAGTTTGATCTTCAAAAATTTAAATACAATGTTAGTCATTATCTTCGGTCTTTTTCTTTTTATTTCCAGTCAAGTTTAAGTGCATTATAATATTGGCAGCAAGGTCTCCTCATTTTACGGTTTAAATGACTAGATTTAACCCTAAGTTCTATGCTAACAGTGTCTTCTATCGCACTTCTCGCTTGTGGAACCCTCTTCAAGCCTCTTCCTTTCCAGTCAAGTTTAAGTGCAGTACAAGACTGGCAGCAAGGTCTCCTCATTTTACGGTTTAAATGACTAGATTTAACCGTAAGTTCTATGCTAACAGTTTCTTCTATCGCACTTCTCGCTTGTGGAACCCTCTTCAAGCCTCTTCCTTTCTAGTCAAGTTTAAGTGCAGTACAAGACTGGCAGCAAGGTCTCATCATTTTACGGTTTAAATGGCTAGATTTAACCGTAAGTTCTATGCTAACAGTTTCTTCTATCGCACTTCTCGCTTGTGGAACCCTCTTCAAGCCTCTTCCTTTCCAGTCAAGTTTGATCTTCAAAAATTTAAATACAATGTCAATCATTATCTTCGGTCTTGCTCTTTCATTTTTCGCTCTCCTTAATTGTAATATTTTCTCATATTCTCTAACACACAGTAACCCTTGCTTCCTAGTGGCTTTATTGCTTTGCTTCGCGTGAAAGACTAAAATACTTTTATTAACTTTATTTTCCTGCATGTATCTCGCCGGTTCCTGTTTACCCATGACTGTTTCAGACATTACACTCTAAGACTGAAAGCACCAACAGTTGAATAAGACACCAAAGAGACGTCTCTGACATAATTCAGTTAACCATTAACAGATACGCAGGATAGTTTGCTCTTCGCCGACACACTTGTCTGGTCATGAGTCACCGAATGGACGCAAAGTGGAAAGGGGCTGACTGAAGACAAGCTGGATTCATGACTTAGTTCTTCATATAGGTCCATCCAAGAATAAACATCGTCAGATAAGAGTTACAAAATGTCTGACAATGCTAATGAATATCGTTGTGAAAATCCCTTTGGATAAAAAAATGATTTAAATTGGCTGATAGAGACAGACAAACAGACAAATCAAATAACTTATTGATTGCTTAGTTGTAAGATGGAGCATATGTGTAAATTGCGGGTCCATTTTAATATGTCGCTGACGTCAGGCCATTTCTGGAGTAGGTAGCTCCTATTTTTAAACAAAAACAGGTTTTGTTATTGGTTTTATTAGGTCCTTATTTTTCTTCATTTTTTTTCTATGGCTTTTCTTTTCATTTCTTCTTTTTCTTGATTTTCTTTTTTGTTTTTTCTTTCGTTTTTCATTTTCTTTTTTTTCATTTTTGTTTTCTTTCATTTTCTTCTTGTTTCGTTTTTTGTTTTCACTTTTCTTTTGTTTTCCTTTGTATGATTACTACTTTTAGCTTTTTTCAGCTTTCGCTTATTTTAATTTTCCATTTCTTTTTCTTTATTGCTGTTTCTTTTTTCGTTTTCCTTTATTGTTTTACACTTTTCTTTTTTTTCTTCATTTCGTTTTTTTTCTTTTCTACTTCCATGTTTCTTTCTTTCGTTTTCTTTTATTGCTTTACACTTTTCTTTTCTTTTCTTTTTTCTTTTTTCTTTTCTGTTTTCTTCTGTCCGTTTTAACTCCTTTGCTGTTTTTTCTATTTTTTGATTCTCTTTATCATTCTCATTATTTATTTTTCATTCATTTTCATTTATTTTTTCATTCATTTTTTTTATTTTTCATTCATTTTTATCTGCATTTTTCTTGTTCTTCCTTTATTTTTTTTACTTGGAATGCAGAACCCTTACTCATTGTATTGAAAACATTGCTTTTTCTTTTGCTAAAAAGAAAAAAAAAAGAAAAACAACAAAAATCGAATTTAAGATAAAACAATTTTTATTAATCTTAACAAAAGCAGTAACGTTTGAATGATTTTTTTTATGATTTCACCCCAAGCCAGACGATAAAACCATTAAGATGAAATGGCTGCTGCGTTTAACAATTCAGAGCCATTATCCATTCTACTACCCACACATCCATGCTTACGGCACTTGTTATTCCCAAGCGGTCACCAATCTTGGTACTGGCCAATCACGACGTGGCTTAACTTCGGTGCTCGTACTGAAACCGATCTTTTTAAGGGATGTGTGACGTTTGATACGAAAGTAACTATTTCCACGACAGTAACGGTTGAGCTTTTTTAGTTTTTCTTTTAACTTTGTTACAAACAGTAATTGAGTGACAGTCTGGCAAAATGGCGTCCGCTACGAAAGTGAATGTGATACAAATATATATCATCTCACAAGGGACAAATTACACCCACTGATATTAATTATAGGTTTCTTAATATTTACAGTAAACAAACAGTAGATGTGAGCACAGTCAGGATGTAGTTAATACGTTACAGTTGTGTCACGTTTCGGCGGCCCTGCATAGAGAGAGCTGAAGATTATGTGGCATAATAATAGTTTTTTTTAGGGGAAAACTTGCTCTATCCGTGGCGTTATTGCGCTCTCTGGATCTTTTATAATTTCCGGATGAATAAATAGAAGGCATTATGTAGATTATTCTTTATTTATAAACAATAGTAAAAATGTTGTTAGTTTTTCAAAATTTTTAAATTTAAGAGACGCTCATAAATATTCATCGGGTTAACGGTAAAGTTTAGGGAAATTATAAATACTTGCTGAAAAATAAATTGCTCTCATTTACGTTGACAAAGAGACGAGGGGAGAATCAATGATAAATAAATATGAACAGACATAGATAGATAAATAGATAGATAGATATGAATAGACGACGAAAGAAAGACAGAGAAAAAGAAACAGGAATATATGAATATGCATTAATTTTAACTTCCCACTTGAGTTTTTATTTATCATGGAAATACATTTTTTTAAATGTGTAAATGTAAAGGTTAAATAAATATATATATGAAAAAGAAAATAGATAGATAGATAGATAGATAGATAGATAGATAGATAGATAGATAGATAGATTGAAAGGAAAGGAATGACATAGATAGATAGATAGATAGATAGATAGATAGATAGATAGATAGATTGAAAGGAAAAGAATGAGATAGATAGATAGATAGATAGATAGATAGATAGATAGATAGATATATAGATAGATTGAAAGGGAAAAGTATAGATATATAGATAGATAGATAGATAATAGATAGATATATATATATAGATAGATAGATTGAAAGGAAAGGAATGACATAGATAGATAGATAGATAGATTGAAAAACAATAATGAGATAGATAGATAGATAGATATATATAATATATAGATATAGATAGATTGAAAGGAAAAGAATGAGATAGATAGATAGATAGATAGATAGATAGATTGAAAGGAAAGGAATGAGATAGATAGATAGATAGATTGAAAGGAAAAGAATGAGATATATAGATAGATAGATAGATAGATAGATAGATAGATAGATAGATAGATAGATAGATAAAGCGAGAGCTAGATAAATAGATAGATATAAATAGACAAAGAAAGAAACTGGAATATATGAATATGTATTAATTTTAACTTCCCACCTGATTTTATAAAGGAAATACATTTAAATTATTTTTAGATGTGTAAATGTGAGGTGGGAGTCAGCTATATAAGAAAAGACTGATAGATAGATAGATAGATAGATAGATAGATAGATAGATAGATAGATAGATAGATATGGACAGACTAAGATAGATATGAACAGACAATAATCGAGAGATACATGGATAAATATATAGATATAAACAGACCAAAACAGATAGATAGATAGATAGATAGATAGATAGATAGATAGATAGATAGATATAAATAAACTAAAATAGATAGATAGATATGGACAGACTAAAATAGATATTAACAGACCAAAACAGATAGATAGATAGATAGATAGATATAAACAGACTAAGATAGATAGATAGATAGATAGATAGATAGATATAAACAGGCTAAAATAGATAGATAGATAGATATGGACAGACTAAAATAGATATGAACAGACCAAAACAGATAGATAGATATATAGATAGATAGATAGATAGATAGATAGATAGATATAAACAGATTAAAATAGATAGATAGATATGGACAGACTAACATAGATATGAACAGACCAAAACAGATAGATAGATAGATATAAACAGACTAAGATAGATAAATAGATAGATATAAACAGACTAAGATAGATAGATATAAACAGACTAAGATAGATAGATAGATAGATAGATAGATAGATAGATAGATAGATAGATAGATATAAACAGGCTAAAATAGATAGATAGATAGATATGCACAGACTAAAATAGATATGAACAGACCAAAACAGATAGATAGATAGATAGATAGATAGATAGATAGATAGATATAAACAGATTAAAATAGATAGATAGATATGGACAGACTAACATAGATATGAACAGACCAAAACAGATAGATAGATAGATAGACAGATAGATAGATAGATAGATAGATAGTGCATACAAAAGTCAGCTTCAGAAAACTAACTATATGAAAGTGCCTGAAACCCAACCGACGGGAAATTAGCGAAAGCCCATATTCTATAGACGCCTGAAACTACATCGATGGAAGGGTAAAGAAATTGACAAACATAGAACAATGGCTGAGAGAGATATAACTAGATGCTTAACAATTGCATACATATTGTGTTGAATAATAATGCAGAGGGGAAGAGATTATTTATTGCCGAAAGTACATTTACCTCATCTCAAGGTTTCCAATCGTAACGTTTCGTTACACACAAAGGAACAGTGTTTGGAATTACAAGGTTAATATCGATCGTCCTAAGTGGCGGTGGATGCTGGACAGTATCATTAGAGATGAAATGGAGACTTGGGAAAAAGAGTCGAAAGGGTTAACTGTCAACGATAAAAAGACAGAATGCTTAGTCGTTAGCAAGGAGGCTGTTCAAGAGGCGAGCCATGAAGGTGGGACGATAAAATTAAACAATTACGACAATTTAACTATCAGTGATGTGTTATAATAGACGAGGAAATAGCGGAAGATGCCTTCCAAAGCGTAGCAAATTATTCAGATACAGGAAATTTCCGTTAGAAAGAAAGAAAGAAAGAAAGAAAGAAAGAAAGAAAGAAAGAAAAGGCAGTATAATATAAACCCTCCTATATGGCAGTGAAAGCTGGGCAATTTCCGCCCCGGTCAAGAGAAGACTAGGGGCAATTGAAATGTGTTCATATAGATGGGTGCAGAGATTACCATGGACGGTGCATGTGATAAACGAGGAAGTTTTAAATAAAATGGATTAAAAAAAAAGGACATCTATACCTAGAATCAGAAGGGGAAAAGCATCAGAGATGTGGTTCTACAGAAGGACGCTGAGAATACCATGGACGGTGCATGTGATCAACGAGGAAGTTTTAAATAAAATGGATTAAAAAAAAAGGACACCTGTACTTAGAATCAGAAGGGGAAAAGCATCAGAGATGTGGTTCTACAGAAGGACGCTGAGAATACCATGGACGGTGCATGTGATCAACGAGGAAGTTTTAAATAAAATGGATTAAAAAAAGGACATCTATACCTAGAATCAGAAGGGGAAAAGCATCAGAGATGTGGTTCTACAGAAGGACGCTGAGAATACCATGGACGGTGCATGTGATCAACGAGGAAGTTTTAAGGAAAGTGTCGGGGGTGGGGCGAAAAGTCACTTGCGCATAGAATCTGAAACACATTTAGGAAAGAAGTTTTGGAGAATTGAACGCAGACAGAGTATAATAAAAGCATGTGTGGCAGAGGGAAACAGCGTGTAAGCTACCCCAAAAGAGAGCTATTGACAAAGTGGGAGGGATGGTCAAATATTACATAGATCTGTGAGGGAGTAGATAGGTCCGCTTATCGCACGGTTCACACTCCTTCCCAGTCTTTTGAACCGGAGTAGTGCTTTATCCTTTGTTTTCTATTTAGGATTGGATTTCCGGTTCATTTTCGTAATGTCTGCTCACTCTCATTCACTCCCAGCTGTCCCTTGCGTCTTAGTAGCATTATCACCTTGTTTGGGGTGAAATGATAAACAAAATGATATGATGTTGTTACCTAAAATAACATGACATGTAGACATACACGACACCTTCCATAGATCCTGTGCGCGATAATGTCAACGACATTCCAATGGAATCACGTTTATACGGGTTCAAAGGGCATATTTTTGGCCGAGCCCACGGGCTCAAAAGACCCATAATTAAACCGGCCTTGTTCACATTTGCCCTCGCGGGAAATACACTGACTAAATACCGTTCAGTCCGAAGTCGGGCGACCGGCTGATCGGCTGATCGGTTGAGCTCTCAGCCTTCGGGCGGGGAGGAACCTGAACGAGGCTACGCCGAAGGGCGGAGTCTCTTTCGGGGAGGTAAACCGACCCTGAACCCGTTTATACAGGTACAAAGGGCATATCTTTGGCCGAGCCCACGGGCTTGGAGACCCCACGTTAAACCGGCCTTGTGCCAAATGATGCCCTCGTGGTGGTGGTGGGGGGTGACTAAATATCGTTCAGTCCGAAGTCGGGCGACCGGCTGACCGGCTGATCGTTTGAACTCTCTGCCTTCGGGCGGGGAGGAACCCGATCGACGACGAAGGGCGGAGTTTTCGTTCGGGG